AAACTATTGCGTATTCCTGGCTCTGTATTACAAAATATACATTAGGTTTTGAAAATACAGTAATATTTGCAAGGAAATAAGGAGTAGTTGATATTTGATGCAGTAGGTGCAGAGGAGTTAGTGAGTGGACTTAAATTTTCTGCCATTTATGCTCACACTGATCATTTAAGTGTGAGGTACTTAGTTGAAGCACCTGGTAGTGAAAATCATGCAAAGCTATACAAAATATATATATTTTTAAATATGCATAATGATTATGGCTGTGCAAGTGTTGCAGGTTTTATTTTTGTTCAAATGTTTTGCCCATTTTTTTGTTATTTTCTCATTTTAAGCCTATGGTAATATTTTTTGTAGTACAGGAACCCTTCCTTTTTATTTATTTAAGTGCACTCTCTTCCACTTTTTCAGTTAGTACTCTATCAGAAGCATAAGCTTCTTAACTCATTTCTACCATCAAAGAGAGTGAAATTAGAGGTGTTGAGATATGTTAGAAAAAATGTAAAAGCTATGCAAGGAATTAATATTGGTTTGATCTCAATCACGAGCTGTGGCTTAACACTTGCTAATTGACCATCGCTCACTAATTTAGGGAAGGTGACGTGTTGGAAAGTGTATAAGATTGTTATTTAGGGCTATTCAAAGATCTTGAGCAGGTTTTGTACTTGTAATAATGCTTCTTTATACTATTACAAACATGACAAAATATTATCCGAAGTGAAAATGTTATGTTAGCTTATTGCCTGTTCACCTGTTTATTAATCTGTGTCGCTTCTGTAAGGACGTGTACATGTGTGTATACATGTCTTGCTATGGTTGTGGGGGACACATTTGTGTTTGTGTTGTCCAAAAGGCTTTTTGAAGGACACCTGCAGTGACTGAGGCCAGTGTCAAGATGAGTCTCTACGACGTGAATGAAACTGAAAGTAACGTCCTTTGTAAAGGTTGAAACGTGAAGAGTGAAGTACACGCACCAAGCAGCAGGCGCATTCAACATTTCTCCAGGAATTTTCTAATACTTTTAATGTTATGCTCTACCGGGGCAATCGTCCTATAATTGTGTCATCAGTTCAGCTCTTTCTTGTTCAACTTTCTGCACGACATAAAAATATGTTCAAATGAACGCAGCGCAGTCACCTGGTTCTTCCAGTGTGTTTTGTCTGTATGCTAATGAGGCTGCGCGGACTCCGTGACGGGATTGGTCGAAGCAGAGAGGAAGCGCCTCCAACTCCACGGCCGGCTTCTCCTATTGGTGCAGCAATGATCCTCCGAGTCCTCGCGACAGCTGTAGACGTTCAAGCATTCAGAGGAGAAGAGTTTAAGAAGCCGGCCAGCACGTCATTAATGGCGGCTGACATGATAGGCAGCGCGCCTCTTTACCGCCTTT